TCAAGTCAAAGATTTGAAATGCGAAGAAGCAAAAAACACCCAACCGGAAAAGCAAAATGAAAAAAGAATCCGAAAATACGAAGATAGTGTAAGGAGCCTCTGGGACAGCTTCAAGCGTACCAACATCAGAATAATAGGGGTGCCAGAAGATGAGAGACAGCAAGATATTGAAAACCTATTTGAAGAAATAATGGCAGAAAACTTCCCCCACCTGGTGAAAGAAATGGACTTACAGGTCCAAGAAGCGCAGAGAACCCCAAACAAAAGGAATCCAAAGAGGACCACACCAAGACACATCATAATTAAAATGCCAAGAGCAAAAGACAAAGAGAGAATCTTAAAAGCAGCAAGAGAAAGAGACTCAATTACCTACAAGGGAATACCCATACGACTGTCAGCTGATTTCTCAACAGAAACTTGGCAGGCCAGAAGGGAATGGCAAGAAATATTCAAAGTGCTGAATACCAAGAACCTACAACCAAGAATACTTTATCCAGCAAAGCTATCATTCAGAATTGAAGGTCAGATAAAGAGCTTCACAGATAAGGAAAAGCTAAAGGAGTTCATCACCACTAAACCAGTATTATACGAAATGCTGAAAGGTATCCTTTAAGAAGAGGAAGAAGAAAAAGGTAAAGATACAAATTGTGAACAACAAACATGCATCTATCAACAAGTGAATCTAAGAATCAAGTGAATAAATAATCTGATGTACAGAATGAACTGGTGATTATAATGAATCAGGGACATAGAAAGGGAATGGACTGACTATTCTTGGGGGGGAAAGGGGAATGGGAGATGCGGGAAGAAACTGGACAAAAATCGTGCACCTATGGATGAGGACAGTGGGTGGGGAGTGAGGGCGGAGGGTGGGGCGGGAACTGGGAGGAGGGGAGTTATGGGGGGGAAAAAAAGAGGAACAAATGTAACCTGAACAATAAAGATTTAATTAAAAAAAAAAATTTGTGGGGATACAAGTAATAAAAAAACAAACACAATAGAATATCAGGTGCCCAGATCTTGACATGGATTTATGTAAAGCTTTGGCAAGTGGATTTTGAATTTAGTTGTTCTTTTTGAACAATAAAGATTTAATTAAAAAAAAAAATTTGTGGGGATACAAGTAATATTAAAACAAACACAATAGAATATCAGGTGCCCAGATCTTGACATGGATTTATGTAAAGCTTTGGCAAGTGGATTTTGAATTTAAAAGTTGTTCTTTCAAGCCAAATTATCTTTATATTTGATTAGAGGTTTCATTTTTTAAAAATATATTTTATTGATTTTTTTACAGAGAGGAAGGGAGAGGGATAGAGAGTTAGAAACATCAATGAGAGAGAGAGACATCGCTCAGCTGCCTCCTGCACATTCCCTACTAGGGATGGGCCCGAAACCAAGGGACATGCCCTTGGCCGGAATCGAACCTGGGACCCTTGAGTCCGCAGGCGGACGCTCTATCCACTGAGTCAAACCCGTTAGGGTGAGGTTTCACTTTTTAAAGTTCATTGATATCTGGTATTATTAGGCAATCTGACAAAATAAGTTAAACTTAAAAACCTGTTTGCGACATGAAAAGGTGCTAAACATTACTTATCATCAGGGAAATGCATATCAAAACCACAATGAGATATCACTTCACACCTGGTAGAATGGCTATTATAAAAAAGACAGGGTCTTTTGCAAAGCAAACATTTTGAACTTCGATGAAGTCCAAATTATCCACTTTTCTTTATTTTTGGCTTGTGCTTTTTCTATCATTTCTAAGAACTCTTTGCCTATCCCTAGTTTTCAAAGAGTTTTTCCTATGTTCTTTTCTAAAATTTTTATAGCAATATTTTACATTTAGCTCTATAATACATTTTGAGTTACTTTTTTATAAAGTACAAGATTTAAGTTGAGATTTAATTTTGAGGGGGCCAATTGCTACCCATTCATATACTTGTTTTTCATTTGGGCATCCTCTTTCCCAAAAATATCTATTCTTTGCTTGCTTTTCTATTGGATTTTCTAAGTTGTTCTTATTGATTTGCATAAGTTCTAAAAAAAAAAAATACTGGCTATGAGTCTCTTTGCAGATGTATTGCAAATATCTTCTCCCAATTGTGATTGCCTTTTCACTCCCTTAATGGTATCTTCTGATGTTAATGAAATTCGATGATCAAGTCCTTGAAAAATTGAAATTCACTTTACTAACCCTTATGATTACTGCTTTTAGTATCATGTTTAATAAATCATTTTCTACATCAAAGTCGTGAAAATATTCTTTGTTATCTTCTAGAATCTGAGACTATTGTTTTCTCTTTCTTGTTTACATCTACAGTTCTTCTAGAGTTATGTTTGTGTAATATGTGAGGTAGGAATTAACATTCATTATTTTCCATACATATTTCCACTTGACCAGCACTGTCTATTGTAAAGAGAGTCCTTTCCCCATTGCACTGCAGTACCACCGTGGTGAAAAAATTAAGGACCATAGGTGTGGGGTTGTCTCTGGACTTCCAAGGGATTGGTTTATGTAATTGTGGCAGCTGGTTAAGTTGGTCCCATAAGGCTGTCGCCTCCTGGTCTGATGCTGGAGTTCAAAGTCCAGAGTTGGCAGTCAGGAAGGGAAGATCATGAAGCGAGCTGGAACTCAGAATCCTGAGTTGGAAACCCACAAGGAGGGACTGAAACCTTTGTTCTTGTTGCCTCTGACCTTGGTGACAGGGGTACCCTACAGAAGCCCCCAGTTGTAGAGCTAAACACACACCTGGGCCAGGAGTCAGGGGAGATGAAGAGGATCCTGGAGAAGGTAGAGTGATTGCAGGTCCAGCTGCCGCTTCCCAACAGCTCAGTGAATCAGCAGATCAGCAACAACATGCAGCGCCTACAGTAGCTGCTGCTCCCCCTTTACCTTCCAAATCTCCCAAGTTTCTCCCTTGTTGCTCCCCCTTATCAGGAACATACAAGAAAGGGAATTCTAGGATGTGTAGTTCAGCCTCGACAAGTGGTCACTTTACAAAGCCATCATGAAGTTATTATGTCGCTGTCTTTTCGTTGAGGAAAAGGAGGTGGAGATGTGTTTCTTATAAGATTATTTTCACTACCCAGTGAAACATAGAATTTTAAGTTTCACTTCTTTCAGCACTTCCATAAGTCATGTATTGTTTTCTGGAGTCTGTTGTTAATCAGCAGTCTTATTTTGTTCTTTGAAAGTAATGCATCTTTTTACCTGGTCTTTGTCTTTGGATTTCAGTACTCTTATTATGATCCACCTAAGCATGTTTTCCTTTGTATTTAATCCTGCTTGGGATTCATAAAGCTTCTTGAATTTGTCTTGATGACTTTCATATGATTTAGGAGATTCTTAGCCAATAATTAAACATTATTTCTTCCTATTTTCTCTCACCTTTTTTTTCAAGACTCTAATTATTCATATATTAAAACTTTTTTCTGTTCCAAATGTCTTTTTTTTGTATTTTTCATCCTATTTTCTCTCTGTACTTCAATCTGGATATTTTCTGTCTTCCAGATTGCTAACTCTCTCTTCAGCTAAGGTGAGATAATAAAAAAGGCAGAAACCTTTATTGTCTGAATATTCTTCTGTTGTCTCTTTATATGGCAATAACTTTGCTGAATTTTCTCTAGAGAATAAACAAAACCAAATCCAGTCATTTCTCTAGCATGGCTGTTCAAAATTTTTCCATGTTACTAATAATTTACAATAATATGTTTCTGATTACTTTTTGGTAATAGCATATAAATTGGAGATTACTATCAATTTGGGGAAAGTCTCCATTAAGTTTCTTTATATTTGGAAGAATTTTCCCGACTAAAATCTCCTTGATATATTTCAAACCTCCGTTTTCCTCAACAACACACATCCTTCTGATGTCGCGTTTCTTTGGACACATACACATTGCAGTGAGACCTCACTCGCTGCACCTTGGGTAAAGGCAATGAGTGAGGGGGCACAAGGGGAAATGGGATGATTCTTAGAATCAGAACACCTTGTGATAACTTAACTCTAAACAAAGGTGAGTGTGAACCACACAAATATCTTCACCAAACCCAAAACTAAACCTGCAACAACTTTCCCTTAGCTGGATCCTCAAGATGCCCATGGCCATTCCACTCTATCTGACAGGAGGGGAAATGCAAGGAAGGAGAAACTGGAGTAGAGGCAGCAGTCTCAAAGGATTATCTTGACAGTGAAAATATCTTATATTCTCAAATTTTATAGAAACATAAAACTATGAGAACACACTGCGAGGGCCCCTTCCACAACTTAGAGGGGTCTGTGCAGGTGAGGGGCCTTGAAGCTTAATCTTCATTAGTTTCAGGGTAAATGTATCTTATATTAAAATATTAAAGACCCTCCAAAGAGTTAGCTCACCTGGAGTCGTGATAGACCCAGAAAGGAAAGCTCAGCCCTGCCCTTTATGTAAATTCACATACATGGTCTTGGAGAGACTCAGTCACCACATCAAACCCTATCCCCTAACAGTCTTGTTTCAGTAGGACTTTCTGGGGGGAGGGGTAAGAGCAATAGTTATTACCCAAATGCCTTCTCTCTCTCCAAGCCTCATGTAATGTCAAATATACTGTATCTCCCCAGTCAAATATACTGCTCCCAGCTGCCCTGTTCTCACCTCAACGTTCTCAGAGGACAGAAGTGGCGAGGGTGTTCTGAAATACACTATCCTTACAGAAGACCGGAATGAATAAAGCCTTGCCTACCTCCACTCTCCACTCCCCCCAAACCCACTGCAATAGTCTTTAAAAAGAAAGGCCATTACACATGCTGGGTGTACTCTCAGCTTTTCCAGTAGGCTAAAGATGCTGAACGAACAGACTTGGGGATTCAGGGTGTGGCCGCAGAATATCAGCTCTGGGTGCCATAATCTTAAATCTACTAGTATGTACAGCCATATGCAAGCTGTGTGCAGTTAACTGTGCTTATTATACCACAAGGAGCAAAATGTAAATACACTTAGGCCATTAAAACTTCGAAGAACGGACGGCTATTTTATGTCCGTGTTTACTTTGCAGAACACCATCTGCTCGGCTGTTATGGCAACATGCAGAGTGGCGCAATCCACAGACCTGAAAGGGATTTGAAATGGGTGCTTCTCCTCTGAAACACAAAAGAAGACGTCTAAGGTACTTTTTAAATGTTTTTGTGTATTTCTTGCTTTTAGTTTAGTCAAGCTCTGGGGGAAGCATTTTACCGAATTATTTCATCTTCTGTAATTATCTATGTATGTATGTATTAACATTTTTGCCTGTCTGTTCTGTTGGAATAAGCAATCACCTGAAGAAATAATGCTTCTACTTTTAACATATTGAAATTCCTTTACATACGGGAATCTCAGATTGCTTCATCAAATGTTATTCATTACTTTACCTTTTCAACCTTAAATTGAACTACCTTTTATCAAATGCCTATAATACAGCAGAAACTGTTACCCAATACGTTCACATTACTGCCAGGGAATAAGAGCTAATAGTTCCCAAGCACATAATGAAGTTAAAGTTGCAATGTTTATTCCAACCATCCTGGAGTGGAAGATCCTTACTTATGTATGTATTTATTTATATTTTATATTGTTAACCTCCAGCTTACCTTCAGACTTGTAGATTTTCTATATGAATGGGATTGTGCTGCCTATACTTACGTCTCCATCTAAAATGTAACTATTCTTTTGCAGGGAGAGCATGCAAGTGACTAAATTAAGAACTGATTATCTGGGGAAAGTTGATGGAGGAAAAGTAAATGTGTTGTTTTTTCTCCAATATCTGCGTTAACACCTATATGCACACAAAGCCATTCATATTATTATTTCTTTAAGCAAGTTCAAATAATACAGGGAGAGAGATAAAAACCTAGGCTTATCTGTCGCACAAGTGAAATGACTGTTACACTGTACATACTGTGACCATAAGTTGTATCTAAATGCTTTCTGATACTCTGCACTGGTTTCCTGAGTAAAGGTGCACAGAATGTTCATGAGGAAAACATGACCTTTTGTTTGTTGACTCAACAACAAAAATTAAGTGGAGGCAGAGGCACATGCATCTGTCAACGTTGAGCCCGGTCTAACCCTGAACAGTTTGAGAAAGTGGAAGCTGAACAGATGCTAGGTAATAGGTGAGTTCCTTGTTTTTAGGAAAACAAGATTTCAAACATTTCTTGGATGTGGAAAATGCTCAGATAAATTGATGCTTTGGTCACAAATATTGAAAATGTGAGCCCTGCCCAGCCCGAGCGGCTCAGCAGTTGAGTATCAACCCAGGAATCAAGAGGTCACAGTTCGATTCCTGGTCAGGGCACATGCCCGGGGTTGCGAGCTCGATCCCCACTAGGGGGCATGCAGGAGGCAAACGATCAATGATTCTCATCATTGATGTTTCTATCTCTCTCCCTCTCCTTTCCTCTCTGAAATCAATAAAAAAAAATTTTTTTTAAATAAAAAAGAGTGCTTAAAATCAAAGAAACAGTGCTTCCCTCTTTTTTTTTAAAATATACTTTATTGATTTTTTACAGAGAGGAAGGGAGAGGGATAGAGAGTTAGAAATATCGATGAGAGAGAAACATTGATCAGCTGCCTCCTGCACACTCCCTACTGGGGATGTGCCTGCAACCAAGGTACATGCCCTTGACCAGAATCGAACCCGGGACCCTTTGGTCCGCAGGCCGACGCTCTATCCACTGAGCCAAACCGGTCAGGGCCAGTGCTTCCCTCTTTATATAAAAATGTTGAAAACTCACTGTAGATATAGAAATTGTGCTTAAATGTGGCCTCTCCTACACCCCTCAGATATTCTGCGCCCAGGGAGCATTTTTGCTCCATCCTTTCCTGCATCAGCCAGAAGAGGGACTGATCACCTGTGGCAGCAGAGTAAGAGGCAGTGGCTCAAGGCAGTTTTGCAACCCATTCTTACCAGACGTGAAACCTCAGAAGCACTTGATGTTACAAATATCATATTATTAAGGGTTATTTACTGTGTCCCTGGAGTTGTTCTAGATCAGCCGTGGGCAAACTACGGCCCTCGGGCCGGATCCGGCCCATTTGAAATGAATAAAACTAAAAAAAAAAAAAAAAGACCGTACCCTTTTATGTAATGATGTTTACTTTGAATTTATATTAGTTCACACAAACACTCCATCCATGCTTTTGTTCCGGCCCTCCGGTCCAGTTTAAGAACCCATTGTGGCCCTCGAGTCAAAAAGTTTGCCCACCCCTGGTCTAGATGCTACAGATCTCCTACAAGCTCCTGGTGTCACTGAGAATCGCTGTTATAAGGAGATGGGTTCTTCCTTCTTCATGTAGATATCTTGTGTTCACAGATTGTACTGAAAAGCAATTGATCTGAGATGCTGGGGCAAGTTCCTCACATATGTGCTTTGCTGCCCAGCACAAAAGGTACATTTTTGTTTGTTTGTTTTTGATGTCTATGCCTACTTCTCTCATTTCTGGTGCCATTTGTATGACAGAAATCTCACAACCCAAGGTCAGTGTTGCTTTCAGTAGGCAAAGTTAATGACAGCTACCACTGTTGAGCAGCTGTACTGAAGTAGGGGCTGCCTCTCCCATTTTGCAGACAAGGAAATGCAGGCTAAGAGGACTCCAGCATCTTGAGCAAGGACACAGAGTAAAGGAAGAAACAGGCCCAGGATTCCAACCCTGGTTGGTCTGAACTCAGAGTCAGTGAGATCTCTACTCTCAGAAAAAAATCGTGAAATATAATTGACACCAAATTCTGATAAATAACTTTCTTGGACCTTGCCTCTTCAGGCTAAACATCTCCAGTTGCTCTGATCCTTTTTTTTTTTTTTTTAATGATGTTAAAGACACCCTCTCTACCCTGGTCACTGTCTTTTAGTCCTACTTGAGTTTGTCAAAGATCCCACCGAGGCCAGAACAAAACACAGTGCCCCAACTGTGACTAAGCTGAGTACAAAAGCTCCCTGACCTTCCGTGGAAGAGAAATTACACTGAAAAACAATACGGACTAGCTTCAGAGCACAGGCTCCGTGCACGATGGTTCCCGGTGCACAGCGCCAATACCTCACTGCAGCCAGCTGTGATGTTAACTTGCAGAATCTTCGTCATGTTCTTCTGATATGGCATCTGCATTCAACTCGACTCTGTCATCTTTCTTACCAGAGTGATCACTAAGGCAGGCCTTCCTGCAGCCCCCACCCTCGTGTAGTTGATCCAGGGGGATACCTTGGACATTCAAAGGCTCTGGTGTACACTGCCTGTCTGCTCTGGGCTCTGCCTCTTGCTGACATGCTCCAGGGCCACATTTTCACTCTGAAAAGAAAGCTATCCAAATCCAAATCTTAAAAGAGAACAGGGTTTCCAGCATTCATTCCACTCTTTGTCCAGTTCTGTCTTCTCTTATTTCTCCCTATCCCTAGCTTTCTGACTTCATTCTGATAGTTTTACTACCATATTCCATGTTTTGCAGGCTTTACTATGTTTGTTTCTCCAAACAAAAAATAGAGGTAGAAGAATTAAATCTTGTTGTCAAAAGCATAGAAGGAATCGTGAGTATACTTGAGAGGATGTAGGGTTCAGCAGAGGGACTTCGCCCAGAACACACCCATGATTCTGCCTGTCAGTAAAATCAAAGATCCAACCCATACTCTATTTCCTCTATACAGCCATTCCGGGTTGCCCCAGCCCTTGGCAATTTCGCTCCCCACTAGCTTCTGTGCAAGGTGCTGCAAGATCCTTGAGAACAGGGAGCTTTGTCTAGAAAATGATGCCTCTGCTTCACTGGGTCATGGAATGCTACCTTTGTTTGGGTTATTGCTGACATTATTGGGAAGCCTGGGTCGTCTCAATCTCAGCACTCGGGGATCCAGTAAGGCCGCCCTGAAGGTTGCCCTAACAACCAACTACCTGAGTTTAACCGCTCCTGGCGGAAGGTCTCTCAGTGCAAACAGGTAATGCTTTAAGACCATGGCTAAAATCTGCTAAGTGCTCATTCAAAACAATGGAGTGGAAACTGAAAGATGAGCAGTTGCAGAGACAAGGCCTTGGGATCTTATCATGGTAATAGCCCTTTGGAAACCGGGTCACCATTCTGGGACCCTGGAATCTCTGTAAAAACCAAACCAAACCAAACCAAACAAGGTTTGCTTTACTGGGTATGGAGAAGATTCATCCAGTAATAAAATTAATGAAAAGTGATGATTTCTCTAAATAAACGGCACTCTTCTTTGAATATTGGATTGGAAACATGAATACAGGAATAATTTTAAAGGCCCTGAGTGCTAAGAGAAGGATGAGAACCTGCACTGAGATTCGGGGCCTGGGGAGCTGGCCACCACAGCAGGAAGGAAGGAGCTCTGGGACTTGGGTCTCCCGTCCTTTCCTACTTTCAGTTCTGACTCTAGGACCTGAGGCAGGCTGCTCTCTGCAGTTTTGTTTTCTCATCTTTAAAATAAAGACATTAAATTTTATGAGCTCTAGTCTCATTTCCAATGGTAAAATTCTGTTTCTAAGCTATTCTTAGTCTAAGAGAAACATAAGCTATTCTTATTCTAAGAGATACATGATTTCATTTTAATTTTTACATAACTTTAATTTTAGCCAAAACTCACACCTAGAAATGGGTCCATAAAAAAATAATTACTTGCCCTAACTGGTTTGGCTCAGTGGATAGAGCGTCGGCCTGCGGACTGAAGGGTCCCAGGTACGATTTTTGTCAAGGGCATGTACCTTGGTTGCGGGCACATCCCCACTAGGGAGTGTGCAGGAGGCAGCTGATCAATGTTTCTCTCTCACTGATGTTTCTAACTCTCTATACCTCTCCCTTCCTCTCTGTAAAAAATCAATAAAAATATATTTTTAAAAAAAGATAACTACTTTCTCTCTCTCTCTCTCTCCTCTCTCTCTCTCTCTCTCTCTCTCTCTCTCTCTCTCTCTCTCTCTCCTATCACTATTGTATGCATAGGAAATGTCTGTTATCAATGTTTCCTGGGGTTGGGAAAATGATTTTTACAATGCCTTTTTACCTCCTGGATTTCTAAGAAGAGGGCATATGAAGTAAAGTTAAAATAACCTCATCAAAGGTAGACTGAATTAAATTGCTCTTTTGCCTATTGGGTTTTTTAAATTTGTTTTGTTGGGTTTTGTTTTGTTTTTTTGTAGATAGGCTTTAATAAATAGCCTTGGAAAATCATTTAAAGAGATGAAACACTCATTGTTCTAGCTTCTTTGTGTAAATGCTGACAAGGTTTTATAAAAAGAAATGTTCAATGAACTGTGTACATGAGTGGCTTTGAATTCATTTACCCCGTTTCAGTTCTCTTTTAATGTATATTGTAAACAGCAGAGACACAAGAATTCTCATCTAGATTATGAGCCAAAACAAATGATCAGGTTACCCTGTTTGGCTTGCACTACCTTGGAAACCACTGGGCTCCATTTTCCTGAGTGTAGAGCACTAGTTCCCTCTCAGGGAAATGATACAATCAACTCACGGTTTTTTAAATTGAACGAGCAGCCAACTGGATCTCTTCTTAATCTCCACATCTGTGTCTGGAGGTAAGCTTATTTCTCTTGTGATAGGATTTATTTAATAGGAAAATGGCATTTCTTGTAATTGGGTAGTCATCACTTCTTTCCAAAATGTTTCGGGGAGAGAAGTAATCCTAATCATTACAAACGCAGACATGTTGCTGTTCAGTTTGTTGCTGCATCACAGATGGCCTTTCTGCATAAGCTGCCTCTAAGCAATGTTGCCCATTTGGAACGTGTTATTGACCTAGTGCTCTGGGAGGCTGTGGCCAAGTCAGAAGGGCTGGCCTGAGCACAGTGTAAGCTGATGTGACTGTGTGGGGCAGCGGGCGCAAAGAACAGCACAGGCCCTTTCAGTGGCCTTTCTGTGTGACTTGAGGAGAGCTTTGCACTATTCCTAAGAGGTGAGCCTCTAAAAATGAGTGCCTTTAAACTGTGAAGGAATTTAAGTATGAGAACTAACATACTTAAATTGTCTGTCATTTTCACATGAAAAAGCATAGTAGGAAACCATTGGGAAAAAGTTAACTTAATTATTGGGCCTTTTACATTACATTTACCTTCAAGAAGTGGTATATGTATGCATGTGTTGGCCTATGCGGGTGCATTCTACTCAGCGTTGTTCATGGAAACCTCAGTGTTGACAATTTATTTTTTTCAGCATACTGTTTTTACATGCATAAAACTGAAAATGAGATGTAAAATAATTTTATGCCAACAGGCTAATCCTTAGACTTATGCTTCTTATGCAATTATATTTACCAAAAAAAAGCAAACATCACAAAACCAATAAAATTAAAAGTAATTAAAATTTAGTGGACAATGTTTTGCTGAAATTAAATCACTGCTCACTAAGAGAATAAGATACTGAGCTGAGGAGCCCAGGTTCTTTGAGTGGGTCCTGCCTGGCCCACCGTGGTTTGGGTAACGGCTTGTTCTTCCACCACTTGTCTCCCCTCAAACTACTCACTTCACTCATGCTGCAGTCTCAACATGGCTTCCTTTGGCTTTCTCTTGAGCACAACCCAACATGTGTTGTTTAGCCCAGATAATTAAAAAGTTCTGTAATGTGGTTCCAATATGAATTTAAATATGATGCAAATATCAGATGTCAGCCAACGTTTTCTGCAAAGGGTGAGATAATAAATATTTTATGCTTAGAGGGCCATACATGCTATCTCCATTGCAACTACTCAACTCTGCTATTTTAACATGAAAGCAAATATAGACAATAAGAAGTGAATGGGCATGGCTGTTTCCCAAAACACAACCCTGTATTTAAAACAGGTGGTAAACTTAATTTGGCTTGAAGGCTATGGAGTTTGCCAAATTCATTTGGGATTGTTAATAAAATTATTAAACAGGTGAATCAACATTGGTGCCAATCATGAGGACTACTGTTGCTATCAGTTTAACACTTGAATTATTTGAGTAAATAGAAATGAATATATATTTCCTAACCATCAATGTTAATATTAGATATGACAACCAAGTGATATGAAAATTACTTTAATTTCTCATTTTTTAGCTGTATCTCTTAGTGTGGTCAGTGGGAAGAATTAAGGCTCTTGAAGACTATATGAGTAGTTAGTTATTTTATAGGAAAGAGGAAAGAAGTTTGAGACCGAATACTTCACCTGAGATTCAAATTTGCTTTTTTTTTTAGTTAAATGTAGCTAATAAGTATTTATTAAACAGCTACTTTATGCTATGCACTTTGGAGGATACAAAACAAGTAGAAAATATGGTTTTCAACTCCAAACAACATATAAGGTTCTTTGGGGAGAAAGAATCTATATAAGACTAGTTAAGATGTTATATCATCAAATGCTAAAATATGTTCTGAGGCTTAGTAGGAGCTACAAAATCTGAAGAGAGAGAAGTCACAACTTGGAAGGCTATGAGGAGGAGGTAGGGCAGAGAGGAGGAAGGAGCATGAAGATGAAAATGAGCTGTGGGCTTGAGATGGGAGACAGGGGTAGGCAGAGGGGGGGAGGATGAACCATCTGACCAAAGTGGGTGTTGGCCAGTGTTGGTAGACAAGATGTTGGGGACATCTCCCACTTGCTTTTCTTACAGAGATGAAGCAGGATGGTCTGGATCTCAAGTCCAACTAGGAGTTAGACGAAATAGGGACCTCAGAACAGTAATGCCGAGTTTAATGGAAAATGGAGTGACACTTAATTCAGGTAGAGGTAGAGAGGCTGGGTACAAGGAGAAGAATGACTGAGGTAGGTCCCCAAGTGTTCCTGGAGAAGTTTCTAAGATCTAGAGAGGCTGTGTTCCCATTCATTATTTAGGCATGGGGTGTGCCATAGTGGACAATGAGGATACTTGCTTATGTTGCCAAATAAAATAAATGTAGATTGCCAAGTTAAATTTTAATTTCCAATGAATACTTATTTAGTATAAGTAATCCCAAATATTGGATAGCAGGCATACTTATACTAGAAAATTATTCATTGTTTATCTAAAACTCAAATTTAACCAGATATCCTACATCTTTATTCACTCAATTTGACAACCCTAGTCCCTCTATCAGAGAACACACAGTCTAAAACAGATATTGCTCATATAAATAAGTGTAAGTGGAATGAAGGAAAGAAGGCCAATATTATAAACAAGAATACCAAGGAAGACCGAAGTTAGATTGGTGGAGTCAGGGAAGACCTCTCTGATTCAGGTGAAGGAACAAGTGGATCTAGGTCTAAAGGAGGAAGTGAAGGAAGAGCAGCATGCCCGAATTCAGTGTACCTTGGAGATGTGCAAGATGAGGTTGGACAGACAGGCAAGGGCACCACTACGCAGGGCTTTGCCTTCCAGTTAAGTATTTGGCCTTTTCCCTACCTTAACTGCAATGGGAAACCATGTCACAGTTTTAAGCAGAGAAATGAGACCATACAACCTCCATTTAAAATGTTAATCTGGTTATAAAGTGAAGAATGAGTTGGAAGAGGTCAAGAATGAGAAAAGGGGAGATAGATAAGAAGCTATTATGGTGTACCAGGCAGGAACTGAGGGTGGCTTGGATTAGGGTGGTGGTGGTGCAGACAAAAAGAGTGAGAAGAAGTTTTGGGATACGTTTCAAAGGTAGAAACTTTGGACTTGAATAGAGATTGGATGTGGGGTTTGGAGCAGAGAGAAGGTGAAGAAAAAATTCCACGTTTCAACATGTGGGTGGGTACTGGTGTGATCTACTGAGGTAGAGAGCACTGGAGGCAGAGCAGTGCTCTGGGGGAGGTGGAAAGTAGAGGAGCAATAGCAAGGGTTCACTTTGGGACATTTTCAGTTTATGAGATGACATCCTAGTACAGATGACAAGGAGGCAGCTGTAGCTCAGAGGTGAGAGGTCTGGACTGGACATTTGAGGAGTCACTGACATATATGTGCAGGCAAGGAAGATTGAAAATGATTCAGCACATAATTTTCCTATCTGGTAACCTTCCTGATATATATTAATAAGCTGGCTTTGTAAATGTTTATTCTATAAACAGCTTTGTTCAACCGTCACAAACACATACACGCAGAGAATAGTAATAGCTCTGATATTGTATGGTTTATTTTTATTAAGTTTATTTTCTTCAAGTGTATGTTCATTTTGTAAAAAACATTATTGGCACCACAAAAAATCATGAGAAGGGGGATATAAGAACTTTTTTTCATTGATAAGGATTAATATTTTGTTATTTCTCCTTTTCTCCCTATTTTCATTTCCTATATAAACAGTTCTCCATAAATGTTCAGGTTATTTAAACCACTATTGTTCCCTTATATTCCAAATAGGCATCTTCCCACCCACATTTTTGGGGAACTTATTTGGTAGAAATTATATATATACAGTGGGGCCTTGACTTACGAGTTTAATTTGTTCTGTGACGGAGCTCGTAACTCAAATTACTTGTATGTCAAATCAACAGTGAACAAGTGAGACACGTGATGCTGGGCTGATGTTGTGGCATTCACTGTGACGTTTGCTGCGCCAACTAGCGGTGGGGTATCTGAAGCTGGCTCGTAACCTCAAAGCAAAAAATCGGCCGAGAGACGGCTCTTATCTCGAAAAACTCGTTAATCGGGACACTCGTAAGTCAAGGCCCCAATGTATTGGTAAAAATATATACATAACAAAATTTATTTTGATCATTTTAAGTGTACAATTCAGTAACATTAATTATAGTATTGTGCAACCATCACTACTATCTATTTCCAAAAAATTTTCAACCCCAACCTGAAACTCTGTAATCATTAAGCAATAACAATCCATTTTTTCTTCCTTCTGGTACCTGTAATGTCTAATCTAGTTTCTAGCTCTAGGAGTTTGCTATATACTTCATATAAGTGGAATCACACAATAGTTATCCTTTTGTGTCTTATTTCACTTACCATAATGTCTTCTTTAAGATTCATACTTGCTGTAGCATGTAGCAGAACTTCCTTCCTTGTTCTGACTGAATAATTTTGTTTATCCATTCATCTGTTGATGTAACAAGTCGTGTTTACCTGTTGGCTACTGGAAATAATGCTGTAATAAATCTTGGCATACAAACATTTCTTTGAGAGCCTGTTTTCAAAAAACATTTTTTGATATTTATCCAGAAGTGGAATTGCTGGGTCATAAGGTAATTCTATGTTTAGCTTTTTGAGGAACTGCCAAATTGTTTTTCACAGTGGCAGCACTATTTTACATTCCCACCAGTTTTGTACAGGATTCCAATTTCTCCACCATCCTTGCCCACACTTGTTAGTTTACCTTTTAAAGATTATACCCATCCTAGTAAGTGTGAAGTGGTATCTCATGCAGTTTTGATTTCATTTCCCTAGTGACTAATGACGTTGAGATCTTTTCCTGGGTGGATTGGCCATTTGCATATTTTCTTTGGAGAAATGTTTATTCAGGTTTTGCCCATTTTTAAATCGAGTTGTCTTTTTGTAGTTGAGTTTTAGGAATTTTAAAATATATTCTAAATATTAAGCCCTTACCAGATATATGACTTAAATATTTTTTCTCATTTTGTAGGTTGCTTTTTTTACTTTCCTGATAATGTTCTTTGATGAACAAGTTTTATTGTTGTTATTAATCCTCACCTGAGGATATTGTTGTTTTTTTCCAATTGCTTTTCAGAGACAGTGGGAGGAGGGAAGGACGGGTGGGCCGGGGGCGGGGGAGAGAGAAGCACTGATGTGAGAGAGACATGTTGATTGGTTGCCTCCGGAACATGCCCTGACTGGGGCTGGGAATCGAAGCTGCAACCCAGTTGAACCCAGGACCCTTCCTTGTGCAGGCCAATGCTCTAACCACTGAGCAACACTTCTCGGGGCAGAACAAAAGTTTTTTATGAAGTCCAATTTATCTATTTGTTGTTGTTGTTGCTCATGCTTTTGGTGTCATATCTAAGAATCCATTACCAAATCCAAGATCATAAATATTTACCACTATGTGTTCTTTGAAAACTTTTATGGCTTTAGCTCTAATATTTAGATTATTGATCCATTTTTGAGTTGAAATTTTTTTAAATGGTGAGGTAGGATTCCAACTTTATTTTTTTGCATGTGAAAATCTGCTTGTCCCAGCACCGGCTTCTCACCCCTACTTTTAATTTACATAAAATGTTTGGGGGAATTTTGCAACTTTTCAAAATTATTCCTGATATCAAGAATTGAATATTTACTTTCTGAAAGTATTTGATTAACTGAATTTTCCAGATTGAATTCCTGTGCAGTAAACTGCTACTTCTTAAGAGGAGAAAATCATAGAATTGCTTTATTAGAACTGGTAAGTGGAAACTCTTTTAGAAATTGGGAGTAATCCTTGGTGATTTAATGAAAGGGATAAATTAAAGATCTTTATAGGCTATTAAATGGAGATTCCTATTTTTCACCTTCACAGGAACAGAGCTAGAGAAAAAACAAACAAATTTAACTTGCAATTGAAAAGACTTTACTTTGACATCAAGGAAGGTTTTAATGAAAAAAAGCATATATTGCTTATTAAGCACCCACAATGTGTCAGACTCTGTTTTGAGTCCCAGGAGGTAGGTACTATTATCACAGATGAACGTGGACTTGAACCCAAGGAGTCCAACCCTGTGCCCAGGCTTATTTCACTTACGCTAAACAGCTGTTAAAAGTGAACTAACATTAGAACACCCCTCCCTCCTGAGAAAAACCATTGCCTCTTCAGCAGAGAATTTCAAAATAGGTTGGACATTTATCAGTCCAATGAAACTCATAATCCTGACACATTTAACAATATCAACCTTTGGATTCTGTTCAAATACCTTTTTTTTTTTTTTTTTACTGCTTTTCTTTTAGCAGAATAGTCTGTATCCACTCTTACCTTCCTCCCTTTTCTAACATGCCCAACAGAGTACTTTCAAATGTTTTGGAACATTACATAAATATCCACTTGAGTAATATGGACAAATGCCCAATGACACGCCATGAGGAAACATAATACTTTTTTATTCCTTTGTAACCTTTGGGGCTTTGTTTTAATAATTCACGGAGACATTAACCTTTCAGGTGGATTTGAGAATCCTTTTTATTTAATACAATTTTGTTTGTGTTCTGAAACCAAGGACATTGGAGTATTAATTCCCTACTGAATAGAGCATTGTGTACATGTACCTTTGTTTTCTCTGAAAACAGCTCTTAACCTTCATACATCTCCTTGGGGCTGTAGCGTGTGGGCTGCTACTTATTGTTCCCTCAGGAGGAGATAATGTGATGTGCTCCAACAGGTGTGCTGTTATAACAATAGCCCAAATTTCTTAACCCCCAGGTTCCCTTCACAGTATCATTTCCATGGTACTCTTTTGGCTGAGTCTATGAAGAAAGTAAGATGTAATTATTTCTGTAATAGGAAACAGGACCTGAAATGGCAAGATTTCCACCTGAGACATAACGGAGTGTGTTAGTGGCAGACCAGGAGCTCTAACCCACATCGTTTGATTATAGTAGCAAGTTAAGAGCAGCAGTTTTCAACTGCAGAGATTTTGCCTCATTTCTCCAGGGTATATTTGAAAATGTCTAGAGACATTTTTGGTTGTCACAAGTGGGGACAGGAGGTGGCAGAGGCCAGGAATGCTGCTCAACACTCCACAATGCACAGGACAGCTGCTAGAATGAAATTTCCAGCCCAAAATGTCAATGGTGCAACTGTTGAGAAACCCTGTTTTAAAATAATGAAAATTACGTTGTGAGGTATGTGATTGTCTGGCCACAGTGCTGTACACCTGAAACCAATGTGGAATAATGCTGAAGGTGGACTGTGGTTGAAAAATAATTAAAAAAAAAAAGATTGCATTGCAGTCTGTCACTTCCACCCAACCTTCATTTCTTCCTTCCCTGGGGTCAGACTTGCATCACGGTCTGATGGTTTTCCAAGCCTTTCCCAGCTTCCTCCCTGTTCTCTTTCACAGGCATTTTATCTAATACATTTCTTGCACCTTTAACTTAAAATAAAGTAATGGAGACTGGATTTGAACCCTGCTCTGCACCTCATTGTGTGACCTTGGGAAAGCGGCATTTTTCAGAGTCTGCTTTCTCATCTGAAAAATATTAACAACCAAAACCAACACCACCATAAACAAACAAACCCCACTTTCTAGAGTGGTTGGGAGAAACCAACTCAAAAGCACTGGACAGACAGCGCTGAGCATATGATGGGCCCAACAAACACAAACCAGGGCCCAGCCCACAAGTTCAATTATGAACAAGACAGAAGCAGAGAGTGCCAGAAAGTTAATGTAACTGAAATGAAAAAGAAGGCTTTTTATAGGGAATAAAAGCAAAAGAGATGGAGAGAAGCACAAGAGAATTAAGCAGCATCAAGTATGTACTAGGAGGACAAGGGAAGAGAGAGATGATGACACTGGGAGGGCTGTACAGATCAGAAAGATTTCAGCAGTGACTTGGAGATAAATTTGAGAAATAACTAGGAGGAATCAGAAGAACTTGGTGAGCAATTAAAAAAGGGTCATGAGAGGAGTCTAGAATGGTTATGAGATTCCTGACTTGGGTGCTTGGTTGTTGGTAACGATAGTCAACCAGCTAAGGAAATCAAAGGGCAGGGAAAATGGACAGATCAATAATGGATGAAGAGCTGGAATGATCATTTTGAGGCAAGAGGAGACTGACCTCTCCCTCCAAACTCGGTAAAGAAGATAAGTTGGGCATGGATGTAAGTAGGTCTGGAGGGATGAGGAAGCATGGGTCTGAGAAAGTTGATATTGTAGAACCTCACTTTTCACTAGGTGAGCTCTGTTCCTCGTATATGATTCAGAACATGAGGGGAAGCAGGGGCAGGGAATAACCTTTAAGGGTTGGGGAAGTACTTTGACAAATTAGGAAAAGTGAGTAGAGACAACAACTGCAAGAAGCTGGCATGTAAGAGACATCTCAAAGTACCAAGGTAACCTAGAGATTTACATCCAATTCTTTCCAGGTCAGCCACAAAACCCATTCTTAGAGAGAAGCAATCAACTAAAAGGATTTGTTTGAAAGCAGGGTAGTATGTGTGGGATGACCAACCAAATTCCCAATTAAACTGGGCATGGGATCAGTTACAAATGTGGGCCAGTTATGTCATCTCCTTGTATGAAAGAGAGCATATCCTTAGGGATTCTTAGGGAGCCCTCAACATCCGAAGTTGTTGTAATGCAGAAGTTTGAGTTTACTTCCCACAATTCCATAATCAAGTAAGACAGTAGGAATAAATGATCAGTAGAATAAAAATAAATGAATCATGGTGAAATTGTTTTCTTTTTCAGAATCTTGTCTTCTTTTGAGCCTGCGCCATGAGTTGGATATTCCTCAGAGACCTCCTAAGTGGAGTAAATAAACACTCAACTGGGATTGGGCGGATTTGGCTGGCTGTTGTGTTCATCTTCCGTTTGCTGGTCTACATGGTGGCAGCAGAGCATGTGTGGAAAGATGAGCAGAAAGAGTTTGAGTGCAACATTAGACAGCCTGGTTGTGAAAACGTGTGTTTTGACTACTTCTTCCCCATCTCCCAGGTCAGACTTTGGGCCTTACAACTGATCATGGTCTCCACGCCTTCACTTCTGGTGGTTTTACATGTAGCCTATCGTGAGGGTAGAGAGAAAAGGCACAGAAAGAAACTATATGTTAGCCTAGGTACGATGGATGGGGGCCTGTGGTATACTTACCTTACCAGCCTCATTGTTAAACTTGGTTTTGAAATTGGCTTCTTGGTTTTATTTTACAAGCTATATGATGGCTTCAGTGTTCCTTACCTTATGAAGTGTGATCTGAAGCCTTGTCCCAACACTGTGGACTGCTTCATGTCCAGACCCACCGAGAAAACCATCTTCATCCTCTTCATGGTGGTTACCTCATGCCTGTGTATTGTGTTGAATTTCACTGAACTGAGCTTTTTGATTCTCAAGTGCCTTCTTAAGTGCTGTCTCCAAAAATACTCTAAAAGACCCAAGTTCTCAGTGTGTGAGTGCCCCAACCTCAGATATGTTGAATGTGGTGAGGTGGGGGCCCCTCCGCTACTCCAGAATCACCATTCAGCCTCTGCCATAAGCACAAATCGGGAAAGTGAAACAAAGCTACTTTGCAACACACTGTAAGGTTAAACAAAGAAAACCTGCATCCCTCCTAAGCAAGAACTAGGCTGGGATGGGAAACAAAGGGTATCAGCTTTCATGTAATTTGGGAGGAATTAATAAAATTTTCAGTATGTGCTCGATCACGTACACCAAACAGAGGTCTCGTTGTTTTGCTTCAGGGTTCATGAATTGTTTTTGAATAGTTAATTGCCAATTAGTCTGAAGAAACCCAGCTAACAGCATCCTTCTAAGTGCTTAGGTCTGTCAAGTGGAAAGTATAAGAAGTGACACTTCTGACAAACGTGATGTCCTCCAAGGTGCAGCTGAGGCACTAGCAAGCTTTCCAAAGCAGCAGCCACGGCTCCACTCACGCAGCCCCAACCAATCCTCGCAGAGAAAGGCTGGGGAGGGCGGGGTGGCTGCTAACTAGGGGCACAGGAGCCTATTTAAGCGAGAAGGCCCAGCCAGGGGAAAAGACCACAGAGCCCACGACTCTGCAGTTTAGGTGTCCCTGGACATCGGAAAGGGTCACCCTAGAGCAGTGGTTCTCAACCTTCTGGCCCTTTAAATACAGTTCATGTTGTGACCCCCAACCATAAAATTATTTTCATTGCTACTTCATAACTATAATGTTGCTACTGTTATAAATCGTAATGTAAACAACTGATATGCAGGATGGTCTTAGGCGACCCCTGTGAAAGGGTCATTTGACCGCCAAAGGGGTCGCAACCCACAGGTTGAGAACCACTGCCCTAGAGTCATGATGGACGGCAGGTCCCACAGAAAAAGCACATTTATAGGGAGTGGGGGAAGATCCAGAAAAAGAATATGCCCATTTGATTTAACACTTCTCTCTAACCATAGAACTTGAAAATACCTTATACATTTCCATATTATTGGACCTTTTATGATCAGGGATTCACAATGTATCATACAATGTCACAGCTTGCCTGCAATTTATTAATACATCTCCCCTCCCTCTAGAATGGAAAATTGTGTGCTATGGGTCTCTGATCAGAGCAGAGATAGACAGAATGGCATAGAATTGGAGATGAACCCACTTGTCTGTACAGAATAATAGGAAGTTGAAGAAGTGGACTACAGATTCCTATCCTTCAGCAAAAAGTCACTGTGCAATAGACTGGGTCAAGATGAGACAAATATTAAGCAATACAATTTCCAAATTTTTGCTACAAAAATGTCATTAACTAAATTGATGATCATTAACCCCACTACTAAAAAAAGCATTAACCACTAGGTTAGCAAGTGGTTTCACTGATAAAGCATTTATCATTTACCTCAAAGAAAGTAAATGCAGTAATTTGAGATCTTTCTGTGAAAGATTAGCAAATGTGAAAAGCCAATCTTCTTAGAGAAGACTGCCTCTAATTACATTAGTTTGGTGACATTAAAGACTACTGACTGTAGCTAGGTCAAAGATTTTATCTTACTCACCTCTTTGTATCCTTGTAACCCCACAACTTAGGTCTCTGTACTTAGAAACTCAATCTTTCTAATATTTTTGTCCCTTTTGCCTCTTCCCATCTTTTGTCTACCCAGTATTTACTCCTTTTCACCTAAGAGAATTCTGATTTTGTTGGGGATGGCAATGTGCCAGCTAAAAAGCAGGTTTCCAAGTCTCCTTTGCATGTAGAGGCAATAATGTAATTACCTTATCAAAACTACCAGATTGACAGTATGCTTTGAGAAAAAATAAAAGGGAGGATGACCTAGCTTGCATGCATCTTTTCACTCCCCCACTCCTTCCTGCCTGAGACATCACAGCTAGAACTGCAGTGAACATCTTTCTACCACGAAGTGACTTTGAGGATGGAAGCTAGACCTGGATGGAGCAAGAAACTCTTGGGACATTGAAGCCATGATGAAATTGCCAGATCAGCCTGAACCACCTATTTTCACGGTTTTGTTTTCATTATAAGAAACCTTAACTTTCACCTGGTGTCTTTTCCTTGTTTCTCTTTCTCTCTCTCTTACTTGTGGCCAAAACCAGTTCCTGACTACATTCACATTAGTGATTCAGAAGACACAGAAGCCATATCTACTAAGACAAAATAAATGACCAGTATGTTGGGTGCCGAAACAAAACAGGATTAAAAATCTCAGAATTCAGGTGAAATGGAACCAGTAATCATTCTGCATCAAGATTTAAAATCTTAATATGAGACTAGGATTGATATTAGTTCATGACATAAATAAATCCCTGAGTTTTAGCTGTCTGTCATTTTCACATGAAAAAGCATAGTAGGAAACTATTGGGAAAAAGTTAACTTAATCCTGTGTTAGTAGATGTTTGTGTGCAGACTATAGGGAATGATTTTCCCAACACTTGAAAGACAAACAGCTTATCATTTCCCAAGGCTTCAGAACTAGAACCAATAGCTGAAAATCAGAGATAAAGATGCTTCCCTAATACAGAAATGTTAAACTGAACTGCCTCACAACAAAATGATTGCCTGATGTAGTAGATCCCTAACACTGAAAGAGGAAATCAAGAATATTCCTGGATTTAGCCCTAACTGGTTTGGCTCAGTGGACAGAGTGTCGGCCTGTGGACCAATGGATCCTGGGTTCGATTCCGGTCAAGGGCATGTACCTTGGTTACAGGCTCCTCGCAACGTGTTTTTCTCATATTGATGTTTCTCTCTGTCTTTCCCTCTCTCTTCCACTCTCTAAAAGATCAATGGAAAAATATCCTTGGGTGAGGATTAACAATAACAAAAATCCTGGATTTATATGGGAGGAATAGCTCGATGACCTCCAAATTTCCTTTTAGCTCTTCAACATCCTATGGTTTTCATAACTAGAACATATATTGGGTAATGGCAAAATGAGACTTTGTATTGGCTATAGCACTATATAAACCTGATACCACAGAAAGATCTAATAGAGAATCACCTTTAAAAAAATTTCATGTACATAAATAGCAACATACCTCATTACAATGAACACTGTAGGCAGTTCCACAGAACTGGTTATAGTAAGATTTATCTTCTTTAAAATCATGACATTATAGTGATATGTAAGGTATTTATGTATGAGTTCATTCTTTTCTCCACCTTGAGAAATTCTAATTTCATTTCAAGGCTTGGATCAAATATTTCTACCAGAGAGCAAACTTTTGATATAAAATGGGGATAAATAATACCTATCTCATAGGGTTGTTAAAGAGAGTATATGAGATGATCCATGCAAAACCCTGGCACATAAAGGTTATTTAAAATGTCAGATATTATAATTCACAATATATGGCTTCATTATATCACTTGCCCCTATATTACTGGCTTATACACTTGTATCCCCCTCTAAATTATGAACATCTTACATGCAGGCAAGAGCCACATTCTTCATCATCCCTTCAGAGTTCACCCACAGTAGATGTGCAGCAATAATTAACATCTTCATAAATCTTACAGCAAAACTATGTTGTGCAAACTAAAAAGTCATAGCATTCTGAAATTGGAAGAAATCTTTAAAATACTTACAAATCAGAAGACTACAACTCAAAATGATATAGCAACTTGCCTAATGTTACATAAAGTAACAGCAAGATTTCATTTTTTTAAAACTCCAAATCGAATCTTCCAGAGATTTCCTGTATAAAATTGTTTCAAATATATTCGAAATACTGGTATCCCATGTAATGATCAACTGTGTCACACCCATTTTTAAAAACCGTATTAGACAACTAGGTACTAACTGATTTTTTTGGAGGTGGCAATATGCCCACCTGAACAAAGGCACATTTCCAAGTCTCCTTTGCCTGTAGAGGTAGTAGAGTGACTACCGTTTAGTCAAAACAAAACAAGACTTTTGACTGGTGCTTTGAAAAAAGTTAAAAATATCTATAATCCATACAAAGTGGCTCTAGCCTGTATCCATTATAAACAGTCGTCTAGTCATCTCCCGATTTTTAAAACTATATTTCAGTAACTGTTCAGCTAGCTTATTGTAAGTATTCAAAAATACAGATGACCACATTATTAGCCCACATCTCTATAGAATAGAAATAAAAAAATGGAAAGGTAATTTCTCTTCCAATGTCCAGAACTTAGCTATACACCCATTTCTAGTGTTAGCTTGCCATCTTGTGGCCTCTTATTCCTGTGCAGCTCAATATCTAAGCAACACCTATGGTAAGACCTATGAAATTGATGAGCTTTATACACACTCACATCCACTTTTATTTTTATTTATTAAATATATTTTTATTGATGTCAGAGAGGGAGAGGGAGAGAGAGAAACATCAAATGATGAGAATCATAGATCAGCTACCTCCTGTACCTCCCACATGGGAATGGAGACTGCAACCCGGGCATGTGCCCTGGACTGGAATAGAACCTGGAACCCCTCAGTCCACAGGCCAACATTCTATCCACTGAGCCAAACTGGCTAGGGCCACACTTTAAAACTTACTTTATATGCAGCATGTAAGTTAATCACACCTGCAATGTCAATCAAGACCAACTTTCTTCCAGCAAAGGCTGACAAGCCTTAAGTCAGAAAGCAGATGCTGGCTAGCTACACATAAATTACCTAATTTTAAACAAATGCTCTGTGAGACAAGTGCTCAAAAAACATCTGAATACTTATTAAATAGAACATTCATACGTTTCCTGAAAAGGAGTGCACTTAACTTCTTTTGTTGAAACCAATGTGATGGGAAAGCAAGGTAATAACAGAATTTACATGTAGATTTTACCAAGTCCAAATAATGACATGGTCTTTCTTTCACTCTGACATTATGAAATTGAGAACAATGTCTGCTTTCTCTGCTGAAGATACACACGCACATACACACAAAGTATTGTGACTACTATATAAAATTTCCTTCAAGCATTTTCTAAGGATTGCTAGCTTAAGAATACATGGATTTCTTAGATGAGCCAGGCATGTAAATTAAAACTGACAATAAACTCTCATGTCAGCTACTTCCCTTTTGTGGTTGATTGAATGAGTTGACATGTGAGGAGCTCAAAGCAGTGTCTGACACATGGCTATTTATTATTATGTAGTGTCTTTTCTAGAGAGAGCCAGAATTCAGTCTTGGGCTTCCTATGACCTGTCCCAGGATATTGGGAGTTCAGCAATTTGTAACTGCTGCTCCACTGAGCAC